AGTACCAGTAGGTCTAGTATCTAATACCCTACAAATAACAGTACACAATACTCAGTGCCAGTAGGTCTAGTATCTAATACCCTACAAATAACAGTACACAATTCTCAGTACCTGTAGGTCTAGTATCTAATACCCTACAAATAACAGTACACAATCCTCAGTACCTGTAGGTCTATAGTATATATATAGTACCTTACCAATCATTATGAAACTAGATTTAATATATAGTGTATTCTACAATACATAAGACCTCAAGTTGCTACTAAAAGAAAACTTTTACCTTTTAACAAGTATATATACTGACTCACTTTTCTGATTTCCACTTTGCTCAAGTTAACAGTGCACATGGACAGATACTACAGGTGCAAATCAAGTTTGTTTCATCTTCCAAACCTTTCTTTTAGTTATTATTATTGTTACTATTGTTAATAGAGAATTATGAATTTTCAGGGGTGAATGAGGTAAATAATTTGAAATCTGTCGGTGTATATAAGATGCTTTTGAAAAATTTGTATGTATAAGAGAGGATGTGAAATTTGATAAGAAGAGGGTGTAAAATGGAAGATAAAGTTGATTTTTTTTTCATTTCTTTGAGATAATGTGAGATAATTTCAGACATGTGAAATAGTATTTTGAGATAACCTGAGATAATGTGAGAAATAGTATCCATATCCATGAAATATTGTGACATAATTTCTGACCTATGATAAGATTTCTGACCTATGAGGTAATTATAATAATGAGATAATTTCCAAACCTATAAGATATGGAGTAATTTCTGACCTGTGAGATAATTTTACACGATTTTCAAACTTATTAGATAATGTGACATAATTTCCCAAATTGTGAGATAATTTCCAACCTATCAGATAATGTGTGATGTGACTAGGTTAGGCTGTACAGTGATGCCAACAGGCATGAGTCATTAACCTGCTTATCTTTTATCTATGCTGTGTATGCTTCATTAGGATACGTTTATTAACAAGGTAAGGGGGAGAGACCGGTTACCATGGTTATTGACAGGCAAAGTCACTGCATGCTGCATGCCTGTGGAGACCAGTCCAACGCTTTCCTTTATGTTGTTTTTTTTCTCTCGATTTGATTCAAAGAAATTGTTTCATAAATAATCCATTCAAACATTTTTTAGTAATTTAAAAAAAAAAAAAAAAAAAAAAAAAATGTAATCATAGAAAAGTTTTAAATATATTGTTAAATTGTGACATCAAGGAAAGTTGGATATTTATGTAAACAGACTATTATGGTTGGCTTTGGGACCTGTATCTAGCCTACCTCCTCTCTCGTCTCCTGATCTGCATCCACCTCCGCGACCCTCCTCACAGCTCACTGCAGTAGATAACTAGATGCTTCATCTGAGAGAGAATTTAGTCCTTCCACACTGTGTTCAATGTTTGATAGGATGTTATGTTTATTTAAAAAAAACATGCAAATAGATTATAAGGTTTTCTGTAACGGTTTTCTGATTTTGGCCAATACTGCACATCTTTTCAAAAAGAGGAATTTTGTTTTTGAGTGTTTCACAGAAAATAGATTACACACAACATATTTATACAAGTTTGAATGTTGATCAATATACAGACCTGAGTTGTGAGATATTAACACTGACCCTTCCTGCTTTTCTGGCATCAAACTGTCAAGACTACACAGCCTGCTTTAATCCCCAACTATTACCAACCAGTTGTTCTACATATCCAACCAACCTTTCAACAGATGCACACTGAGTGATGTGGATCAATCTCCAAGGTGATATGTAGCCTACTGGGACATGCCTATCCTTTGGCTACCAAGGTGATATGTAGCCTACTGGGACATGCCTATCCTTTGGTTACCAAGGTGATATCTAGCCTTCTGGGACATGTTTATCCTCTAGTTACCAAGGTGATATCTAACCTTCTGGGACATGATAATGATTTTCTGGTTACCAAGGTGATATGTAGCCTAATGGGACATGTTGATTCTCTAGTTACCACAGTGATATGTAGCCTATTTGGGACATGTTGGACCTCTGGTTAGCAAGGTGATATCTAACCTTCTGGGTCATGATAATGATCATCTGGTTACCAAGGTGATATGTAGCCTACTGGGACATGCCTATCCTTTGGCTACCAAGGTGATATGTAGCATACTGGGACATGCCTATGATGTATTTCTGAGTTACCATGATAGTGTGTCTTACCTAATTAGGCAGGTTGATCCTGTGGTTGCCTGCAGTAAAAGAATGATCATATGTTTACCTAGGTGATATCTATAGCTTGTTGTAACATATTGATCCTATGATTACCTGTATGATATCTAGCCTGTGGGGACCTATCATATTCTCCTGGATGGTTTCTAGGTTGTTAGGACATTAGGACAGGTTGATTTTGGGATCACCTAGGTGATATCTATTCTGTGGGGACCTATCATATTCTCCTGGATGGTTTCTAGGTAGTTAGGACGTTAGGACAGGTTGATTTTGGGATCACCTAGGTGATATCTAGCCTGTTGTGACATATTGATCCTATGATTACTTGATATCTATCCTGTTGGGACCTAGCTATTATGTTCTCCTTGATGGTTTCTAGGTTGATAGGACAGGTTGATTTTGGAATCACCTAGGTGATATCTAGCCTGTTGTGACATATTGATCCTATGATTACTTGATATCTAGCCTGTTGGGACCTAGCTATTATGTTCTCCTTGATGGTTTCTAGGTTGATAGGACAGGTTGATTTTGGAATCACCTAGGTGATATCTAGCCTGTGGAGACATTTCATGTTGGTCTTTGGGTCACCTGTGTTGTCTAGCTTGCTTACATTAATTCTTTTTCAGGTTGCAAGCACAAAAGAAAATATTATTATAAAGTTGCAGCATACAAGTTCAAGATTAGTAGCTGATGACAATCATATCTTTTACACATTTCATTCCATATTTCTATTTTTAGGTCACCTGAGCTTTAGCTGAAGTGACCTATTGCTATCCGTCTGTCCTCTATCGTCCTTCGTCCTTTAACATTTAACATTTTCAACTTGAGCTGAAATACTGTCGAAGGGATTTCATTGATACTTCATGTGAATGTTACTGACATCTCCCTGACCAAGTGTTGTTTTTCCCCGGGTCAATCAGAAATCCAATGTGGCTACCACGGCCGCAATTTTGAAAAACTGTTTCAAACTTAAAAGTCAAGTTCTACTGGGTCTATTGACTCATGATCGTAGCAAAGCGTTCTCTTTTTTTCGGGCTGATCAAAAATCCAATATGGCCACCACGGCCGCCATTTAAAAAAAAAAAAAACTATTTCAAACTTATAATCAAGTTCCAATAGGCAGATTTAACTGAAACTCAGTCTTGGAATTATTAACTCATGGTCCTGACAAACTTATCTTACTTAAGTATTTTTTACTCAAATAAGTAGGGATAATTGACCTCATTATCTCCACTTCATTCATATTTCAATAACAAAAATATATACTGTAGGACTCAGGTGACCGTTAAGGCCCATGGGCCTCTTGTTTCTGTTGTATTTTGATCTAACATTACCGGTATTCCAAAATTGTACCTTTAACCCCAGCCATTCAGAAAGATGCAAATTGGGAATGATCATGATGAATTGCAGTGGGTGATCACCATTTGTTATTCAGAGATTGCCTAAAGTAAAGTATTTTCCTTACATTAATATTGATAGATGGTAAAGTGCAGCAGATAGTTTCAGGAATGGATGTAAAATAAGATGTGATTTGGCTTTAGTATACACCTGTAGTCGGCTCGGTGGAGGGATGACAGAGGTGGTGGCTTTAAGTACTGTTAACATTCACCACTATTGTCAGTGGGGTGTTTAGTAATTACGTATACGCCTGATCATTTTAGTTCTTTCTGGTCTAAATATTTCTTCAGTTTGCATTTCTGGGTAAAACTATATGCCCTATGCTTTGTTTTTACAACCGTTTCCGAACATATTTTATTTTTTCAAATCTTGTAGAAATGTACCCAGTGTACTCAAATGTGGTAAACCTTGTTCTTTTTGATAATTAAAAGATGTTTAAAAGTCTTTCTAGATGTAAATATCATGTAGTCTTCAGTTTGCTTGACAGCTGTGTTTGCCTGTCTTTAAATTCATTTCTGATGCTCACAAATAGCAACATATTTGCTTGTTACCAGTGCAGCTCTTTTTGTCTCTTCAATTAAATATATAATTTAGTGGGATTATCTCAGTTTGTCAATTTGACTGTAGACACTATATATCACAGTTATATATTATATGGTTTCCTGATTTTCAAAATTGTAAACAAAATATCCTACCAATTTTCTTAAATCTTATAAACATTTTTCCTGATCATGATTCATCTAAAAGTAAAAAAGTAAAATGTTCAGAATTTTTTATATGGAATATGAAGATATTTTTTCTCCATAGAACTACTGACAAATTAATTTTCCTTGGACAATATCATGCTTATTTTCCAAGTCATGGATATTTTTTGTCTTGCCGCCACGAAATGGAAACGAGACTTAGGTGTTGCTTTTCTGGCCACGGCGTCAACATTAAGTTTTTACATTTAAGTTAGTTTCACTGAAAGTATAAGTGCTAGACCAACCAAACTTGGACCATATAATTATGCATCTTAGGTAGTACATCTCGACCCATGCATCAAATGCCGGATGCACCCTACTTTTCATGGTCCATTGACTTTGTCAGCATCTCCATCAACATTAAGTTTTTGCGTTTAAGTTAGTGTCTGATATGTGCATTGCATTGATGGTCAAAGCGTGGACACAGGCGAGACATATTAATCCGAATGGCTTGTTGTGCCTTTGCAACATGGTGGGGATGGGGGCATTAAGTTCGTTTTTTGTTTGTTTGGGATATAATGTCCTCCCGACAGCCAGGGTCATGTGAGGGTGTGCCTTAGGGAGACACCGCCTGAAACAGAAAGTAGATAGAAAAGAAAGAAGACAGGAAAGAAAGGAAACAAAAAAGATCCCAAGTGTTGCAATGTGGGCAGTTTGGTCTCTTCCATGTCCCCTTTGTAGAAGACACAGAAAAAAGAAGAAAAAAAATGCAGAGGGCACCGCACTAGTTGCCTTTTACGATACACATGCAGTGAGATACAGCAGATCTATTCTTGATTGCTTCAATGTCCCTTAAATAGAAGACAAGGAAGAAACCATCCCCGATTCTGCAGGGGTGGGGATGGATATTACTTGTACAAACATCTAATCCTTATGAGTAAGAGGTGATGCCTAACCCTATGAAGTTTAATTCTGTTAGCGTATAATACTACTGAAAATTGGAGCTAATTTCTTTGTAATTTGTTTTAACGAGATGACTTGGTTAAAATTTGTGTTTAGCTCCAGTTTAACTTATATTATCTGCTGGGTTGACTTTTAAAAGACATAACATTTAATTCCATTGTTTGGATAGACTTTGTGTTCACCTCTATTTCCATTAACCCATTCACCCCTTAAGTCACATTTGAACCTTACCAAATCAAAGACCGGGCAAGTCCAGTTTAAATATGTAGGGATGAGGGAATTAAAGCAAGAGAAGGCATATGTTTTTTTTTTACAAACATTTTCTGGTTTAAATACAATTCTTATTACATCAGTTTGCGTTTTCCTTAATTGGCTAGTGTAGTAAAATGCTGTTATAGGTGGGAAAATTGGTGGAATATTTTGTTTAAAATCTCAATAAATGAGGAATTAAAGGAAGAAATTGTTTTGATAAATATATAGTCCTTCAGTTTTCATCACATTTCTGTGAACATTTGTATGCTTTTTTTCATATTGTATGTAATTGTTTTTTAGCCTCTGAGCTGAAGGTTAATATGGGATTTTTCCCCCTTTCACATTCCATCTGCTATCATACTTCTTTCTCGCAAATTCTGTAATCTTGGTATACATCATGAATGTTGTAAAAGAAATATCTAGTTATCAAAGTTGTGATATTTTCTATTTTGATATGCCTTTTGGTGTACATTCAAATGTGGAGTAATGAAACAGTGCAACGACCATGGGTCAAATGTAAACATGGGTAAACTTTTGATACGCTTTGAATAGGGTCAAATAGTTAGTCAAGTTCATGTCTGGTGTCCATCTGGACCAATTTTTTGGATCAAATTACAAGTCCATGGTGAAAGTCCACTTATAGGTTATATGTATATGACCTCTTAACTTTTCATGGTGTGCATTCTCTTGACATGTTCATGGTGCAAAGCCTGGATTAATATGTCCATGGTGCAGAGCTTGGGCCAACATAATTATACCCATGGTGCTGGTCCCCTTACAAGTTCAAGATTTGTTTCTTCTTCCTTAGATCATTTTCATTTTGCGGATCCTCGGCGAATGTGTTCATGATTTGAATCCTGGAACAATATGTACGTGGTTCAAGTCCTTTAATTGATTTCTTTGTGACATGTCCATGGTACAGGTCTAAGACTGATTTATAATGTCCATGGTGAGGGCCTTTCAGTATGTTTTCATACAATACCATTGAAGAAAATTCAGTAGGACCAATGAAGAATTTAATGACCTTTCCTGGGTAGAAAGTTTTTTTCTTGGTAAGGTGTTTGTCTTATAGCATACAGGCCATGTGGACCTTTCCAAAAACCAACTTTTCCGTTTACCTCCGACAGCATGGTGTTTGAAGCTTGACCCATGGTTCAACGAGTTGAATTTGATTAATGTGTACTACAGTTTAATTGAATTTACATTTTCATGTTTCTTAAACCATATTATTGACTTAATGTTAATAAATAACATTTTTCGTCATGATGCTATTCGTTACTGGCAGTCCTTCATATACACATAAGAGACTCTGCCATTAATTATGATGAGGTCATAAAATCATGTGAAAATTTGGTGATCTTGATTTGTTGGAGGTATACTACTGTATTGATAAATCTATTATTACAAGAAAATGCCTATATTTTCACTGACATTATAATCAACTTAAAGCAATTCTGTCATCCAATACTGAAATTCATAAATAATCATGTAAATATATCAAAGCTATAAGATATTAAAATGTTTGGCTGTGATTGTCTCCCTTGTAGGTAATCTTCAGTCAGTCTAGTGACACTTTGGATCACCAGCACAGTGTGGCCTCCAGTGGGGAGGAAACCTCAATACCAGATAATGCTGCCAGTAAGTTTTGAGACAATTCTCTCGCCCTATAATAATCCTTGCCTGACAGATTGGCCACTAACTTGACAATATGACCATAATTGAAATAATCCCAAAAACTCCATCAGAATCATCATCACTGGCCATCAGCATTTGAGCCGTTATATGTTCTGGCCGCCCAATATTAAATTCGCACTTCACATTATTTACGATACGTATCATGTTGTTGTTTATGAATGTTTGTTATAATGATCATTTGATCTCATTACATTGGTGGAAAAGGCGAAAATGAAACTCCGGCGAAAAATTTCCCGGTATACAGTAAGGCATCTATTACCTTTCCTTTAACTTAGGACAAGAAAATCTCAGTCAGTTGTTCCTCTTACTAAAATACTATGTATGTTTTTCCGTAAACAGATAATCAGTGTTTGTATATAAATATCACCGCAGTTGCAGGAGATTTATATAATATATATCAAGGCACAACAAAACATAGATCTCATTTAATCTGATTTTAATTATGTCTCCTCTTCAAATGAAGGGAGACATTTTGTATTAGTACTGGTTCTTCTTCTTCTCGTTCTTCTGGTTCTTTCAATTGCAACTTGTCCGGGCCATACATTTTAAACTGTTAAAAATATCTTGATAAAACTTGAGGTATGCATGCATCATCCACAGAAGGTGTGCAGTGCACTGGAATTAGGTCACTGTGACCTTCACCTCAAGGTCAAAGGTTGAATAAGTGCAACATTTTCAGTAAATTCTTGTCCAGCCCGTAAACCATTAAAGAGATCTTGATCAAACTTGAAGTATACCTGCAACACCCACAGAAGGTGTGCAGTGCCCTGGAATTAGGTATCGTGCCCAACTTCATACAGAGTAATTGCCCTTGTTTATTTTTATTACCGAAGTTTGTCCGGAGCATAAGTTCCATGTTATTTTACCTACGTTGACCAAACTTACCATATTTGTGTATCTTTGGAAGGCAGAATCTCTCGCACTGAAATCGGGTCTCGTGCCCCACTATACATAGAGTTATGGCCCTTTGTTTATTTCTAATACCGAATTTTGTTCACAGCATAATTTCCATATTATTTCACCTACGTTGACCAAACTTGCTATAGTTATGTATCTTGGGAAGTAGGAGTGTGACATTCTAAATTTGGGTCTCGTGCCTTACTATATAAAGAGATATATGGTCCTTTGTTAATTTTTTATACCTAAGTTTGTATATTGGCTATTAAGGAGATAAATATGTTTATGTTCACAAACCAACTTTCTTATTTATTAAAATGTAATATTGATTTCAAATCAGTTGTGTTAATCTTGTTTTCCAAAGAAATGGGGAATTAAACGATTGATCAGCGTATTATGATTACAATACCTCCGATTCAGTGCATATAGGGATTGACAGAGAAATTAATAACAGCTAATGTGTGATACATCTCTGTCAAGGTTTCTGCTCTATTGCTATTACCGGGTTGTATGTATACGTACCTGGTACTTCATTTCACCAAAATTTTATTTTCAATATATGAATATTTTTCTGCACCCTATTGAAAGTCACATACAGTGTACTTCTGGGGCTGTAACAATGTGTTGTATTATAGAATATATATTATTACACATTTACCCGTTAAATATAAGGTGTTCAAGTGAAACTATAGGTGATTTTTTCCATCTATGAGAAATCTTATTGCTTATTTTTCATGAATCAGTCAAATCTTATATGGCATCAATTTATGCAATCCCTAAACATGAAAATGAAAGGAACACTTGTAAAAAACAGACAATGTCACATTGACTTAAATGCGTTTTGTTCGGTTTGTTTAAGGCGACATCCTATTAAGTGAACCAAATGTCAATGACATCAATATGACCATCAAAGGCTTCGACTTCTTGGACAATGAGCTGGAGGATTCTGAGGTAAGGCATGTGGTCGCTTGATAAAATTCCGAGATTTTGTGGTAAAGCCTCTGATTGCTTGATTAGCTGAAATATTCTGAGATAAGGCATCTAATTGGTTGAGAAACTGGAGATTTGGTGGTAAGGTTTATTTTTTATTGATAACCATGGAGATACTGTGGTAAGACATTTGATTGGTTGATAAACTATTAATATTATTCTTTGGTAAGTCATTTATTGGTTGAGTATTATACCTGTAGTTAAGGCATACTTGCCAACTCTCCCTATTTTCGAGGGAGACTCACAATTTCGGGCCCTAAAATTAAGCATTTTCAACCAGTGAATTTGCTGAACTGAAAGAACAACCGAGTGATATTTGCCTCAAGGGTTTATATAGACACATCAAATTCATGTTTTTAATTTAGAGCATCTGTTAACTCCAGATCCCCATTGAAATTTCAAAAGTTGGCAAGTATGTTAAGGACTGATTCTTTATACAGATTTGATTGTATTCAATTCACACAATTTGGATTATTCCAGGAGAATGATTTCTATCCAAGCTTGGACAGACGGCACTCGTACAACCTCAACTCTCCCGAGATCGAGAGGGAGCGCCACCACCACTTCGGGAGTGTGCCTGACCTCAAGCTCATTGGTCACCTGTCCATAGCAGAGAAACCGGTGACACCTAGTGACAGCATCAGTCTGAAAGAGGAGAGAATCTCAGATAACGAGGTGACACTATTGACCAGCCTTTATAGTCTTTAAGGCTAAACATCAATTTGTACTTTGTAGAAATGGCTTCTATCAGATATTAGAAATGGCTTCTATTAGACATTAGAAATGGCTTCTAACAGATATTTCTATCAACATATTTCCTAAACAAATTAACCCTTTCACCACTGTAGACCATAATGGACTCATCCAGATCAATGCATGGGAGAGTCTACTAATGTTGCATAGGGGTGAAAGAGCTAAGTAGGATGTCATGAGATCATAGAAGCAGCACAATCCAGTGAGAATATAATTATATATGTGTTAAATTGAGTAACTGCAGCAGAGATTTACAGCAACACGTGACCACAAAATATTACATCCCCTCTCAAGGATGAAACATTATTCTTTCAAAACTGTGTAGATCATAAGACATATGATACCTTCAATAAGATTTATCAGCTTGGAAATATGTTATATCAAAGTTTTACTTTATACACAAATGGTGTGCGTGTTAAACGTTTTAAGACTGACTGGTCCCTTTGTCAAGCTATGACCGAGTGAGCGATTTGTATTGTTTACCTGTACAAAGATGTGAGGAAATTGTATTTTTGCATAAGACATGAAGTTGATGAGGTACTCTGGTGTTGTAGAGTGAGAACATGACCCCAGAGGAGGACGGTGTGTCCCAGAATCTGCCAATGGGTACGACCATTACCATACAGAACCCTATGCTGGACGAGCGTCGCCGCTCTAGTCCACTTACCACTAGTTCCACGTGAGTACCTACCTTATCTCCATAAAGATTCAGATGTCCCCAACCCCACCTTCACTAATTTCAGAGACAGGTACTAGCATTTTGAATTTGTACAATTTTAATGTATTTAAGGAGTAATACCAGAGTTAGGCATCTGTACATATTAGAGTTAGGCATTTGTATAGCTTTATGAAAGTCTAGTGAAATTAGAGTTAGGCATTTGTGTAAGTTTTTCCTATTCAATGAAATGAAAGTCTTGCATTTGTATATGTTTATTATAGTGATAGAGTTAGGCATACTGTAGGTCTATCCTATTCAGTGAGTGATAAAGTAGTTTGGCATATCTGTAGGTTCACCCTATTTAGTGAGTGATACCATTGGTTGTTATGCTACTTGTCATGTGTCCGTTATCCAGTCACAGTCTGCTGTATTTAGTGAGCGATACCATTTGTTGTTATGCTACTGGTCATGTGTCTGTTATCCAGTCACGGTCTGCTGTATTTAGTAAGCGTTACCATTGGTTGTTATACGACTTGTCATGTGTCTGTTATCGAGTCACAGTCTGCTGTATTTAGTAAGCGATACAATTGGCTGTTATTCTACTTGTCATGTGTCTGTTATCTCGTCACAGTCTGCTGTATTTAGTGAGCGTTACCATTGGTTGTTATACGACTTGTCATGTGTCTGTTATCTAGTCACAGTCTGCTGTATTTAGTAAGCGATACCATGGGTTGTTATACTACTTGTCATGAGTCTGTTATCCAGTCACAGTCTGCTATATTTAGTGAGCGATACCATTGCTTGGTATACTACTTGTCATGTGTCTGTTATCGAGTCACAGTCTGCTGTATTTATTGAGCGATACCATTGGTTGTTATTCTTCTTGGCATGTGTCTGTTATCCAGTCACGGTCTGCTGTATTTAGTAAGCGTTACCATTGGTTGTTATACGACTTGTCATGTGTCTGTTATCTAGTCACAGTCTGCTGTATTTAGTAAGCGTTACCATTGGTTGTTATACGACTTGTCATGTGTCTGTTATCTCGTCACAGTCTGCTGTATTTAGTGAGTGATCCCATTGGTTGTTATACTACTTGTCATGCGTCTGTTATCCAGTCGCAGCCTGCTGTATTTAGTGAGCGATTCCGTTGGTTGTTATGCTACTTGTCATGTGTCTGTTATATCCAGTCACAGTCTACACAGCACCAACAGTGAACTTGACCTGGTGGATCTGAGTTCGAGTACGGCATCACCAAGTTTCTCGGGTCTCCAGTCAGTCTACCTGTACCTGACAATGCAGAGTGACGAGGTGGAGGAAGCGTGGAAGTCTCACATGGGTCGCATCATGTCGGGGTCGTCTGCCACCCTTATGCTCAACACCACTCAGATCTTCCCCAGGTTGTACAAGGTGAGGGCCCAGTAATCCTAATCAGTGATTAGGTTTTATATGTATTTGCTATATATGTATATCAGCATTTATTATCATTTAAATTGGAACATGTTATCCACATGCCTTCATGCTTCTATCAGTGATCTAAAAATTTTGTACAGTACATTCTACCTATTAGCTCACCTGGTATGACCTGTTGTGTGTGGATATGTTTTGCCGGTGTATTTTGGAGGAATACAACCATTTTTACAGTATTTAATGTCATGTTTCAAATTTAAACAGATAATATAATTTGTATCATATAGGATGGATTCTATCTATTTATAGATTCTATCTATTTATAGTATCTAAATGCATCATTAAGATATTTATTTGATGGCGTCGTGTGTTATAGGAACTACGCAGAAGACTGGACACAATGACCAAGGAATCCAGTTACTACATCGCAAAGACCGAGTCACTCAAACAGATTGCCACTTATTTCAGTATCCTTTTAAAATTGAGTTTGTACAATATTATAAAGTGGTACAAAGTGGTAGAATAGAAAAATATAAAAAAAAAAGAAAAGCCCCTCCAAGGTTAAATAGTATTTTGGCCGAAACCTACATACCATATTCATTGGATGTGTCCCATCCATTATATAAGTGCCCTGCTCTTTTTGCTCGTCTGACCATCACTTCACCTAAATATCCAAACTGATTTGAAAATGTCTATATATTAATCCTTTTATCTCCCAAATTGCTAAGCACCCAGGACACCTGTTAAGTCAAATAAGTTGAAGTCATTTTTTCTTCAAGATAACCCCAATATTTAAATATAAGTCAAGCAGCTTTAACTTAAAATGCAGCAAAGAAGTTAGTTGATAATTTAGAGATGTTTTAGTTAAAAGAGTCAATTGAAATAAAAAAATAAAATAAAAAAAATGAAATATTGTCCTTAACACACCTCAGGACAACTACTGGATACCATGTTTATCCATATTGACTGTCCCTACTTCTTCACTGATAGTGATACGGTGAGTGTGTCACATCCTTTCTTATTTCATAGAGAGTTAACCCTATCACCACTGTAGACCATAATGGGCTCATCCATATCAATGTATGGTAGAGTCTACTAAAGTTACATAGGGGTGAAAAGGGTTAATATGGTTTTTCTAAAGTAGACACGGTGACTGTAGACTTATAAAACAGTACCAGTCACAAATATCTTTTTCACTGATTTTCTAATTTTAAAGGTTCAGGAATTAACTTATATTGAAGACAGCTGATCTGTATTGCAGAGTAAATATATTGTTAGTTATATATTGATGGCAAAGAATGAGATTTATCAGTTTGGTATAAATAATAAATGCCGATGTATGTATGACACGGTTGTTTTCAGCAGGTTAGAGTGGAGGTATCAATCAGTTGGCTCTTTGGTTGACAAAGGAAACGGATGTTTTCGCAAGCTCACAAAATAAGTTTTCAATTACTCTTTGTGTTAAAAACAAACGTCGCATTTATATTGATTGCAGTTGTATGACTGGGTAAATATGCTTTAAATGATGTCAGTCAGTTGCGACACAAATGACAATGTAATCGAGATTTAGCCTAGCAAATACACCTGAAGTCGTTAAACGCATGGATAATCAGAGAAAGTGTTTTTCTCCTGCCAACACAACTCCAACAACCCAGATTGAGTTTAAATTGGTCTGGGGTGGATGTTGTGGTATCTGTGCTATAGCATTCAAGTGAGGTGGCACTATAAATGATACCGTTGGAAGCACGGTCCCACTACAAACAGAACACATTACATCTCCAGCACACACGCAGGCATACACATGGGGAGATATTAGCCAGGTGGCATAGGACTAGTAATTAGCGCCTTATAAGGCAGCTCCTGCAATTTCCTAAAAAAAAATGCATTGATTATTGTATATGCTAATTGTATTAATTATATATCTTTGTACTGTAAAGCACTTTAGAGTTGCTTAAGTTAGCTTGATAGGGCACTATATCAAATGTTGTATATATATAAAATCTCTTGACAGTATTGTGCCACATATTATCTGAATCTACTATTTAAAATTTAACGAACGATGTCACTTACACAATTGCCTTTTGACTGTTACCATACAGCTGAGTGGAAGTCGTGTAGCAGACAGGCACAAGTTTAATGTACTAGAGATGCAGGAATGCTTTGAAACCTACTGTATGAGGAAGGACCAAGCAGAACAGGTACAAAGTCTCCTTTAGATAGCGGCAAATAATGCCAATGAAATTGTTTGACATGCTAATGTAATAACATGTCTGATTGGATTATATTGATCACATGACGGGACAATAATATAAGACTCTTTCATGCGCAGGGGTGTAGGATAGGGAAATCCCCAGGGGGTAATATCCCTATCCTACACCCTTGGGCGTGAAAGAGTACTTTTCCCTATGTTCCAATCACCAGAATAAACTCAGAAACCATGAAAATGTGTTTAGACTGGCCACCATTTTGAAAATATCAATTTTCCCCCTGAGCTTTTTAGACGAAAATGAATAAGCCAGCCAGATTTAGCATATCCCATATTTGTAAACAATGTTTGTGCAGGCAAATTAATCACATCTTTCTAACATGTACGGTAATTATAAAATAAAAGGTTTTAATTTCATCACGTAGCCTTTTCTGTATTGCGGCATCGGAGAGTTCCAAATTCGTGATGTCACGTCATTGTTGAGGCACTGAGGTGTCACGTCACGTGAAATGGGTTGAAAGATAGAAATTTACTACACCCCTTTCTTACCCCGGACAGCTCTATCTTACACACAGGGAAATGAGAGAAAACGTTGTGTTGCCCTCATACGCTAGAGCTTCCCCAGTCATAGTTCCCTTATTCTGAGCCTCCCCAGAAAAACGGGCAAAAGACACATACTACCACAATTGATCATGAGTTCAAGTGGCTGAAACAGACAACAAACAACAATGGTGCATCGAATAGATAATCTATACTCTTGTGTTATTGTTTATCTTGACATAATAAAATATTTATTACCTTTGTGGTGCCCGAGTGAAACATAATTAATCTCGGAGAAACAAAGTATCATGTTTCCCTACCAAAAGGGCAATAAATGTGTATTATTATTCCTCATCGATTTTACAGCGTGTCTGATTGGTTTAAACACATCAGATGACAGGGTTATAAAACATTGAGTCTCCCTCACATGATCCATTTTCCCCGTCGAGTATCCCCCTTGGAACCCCTCACACATTATCGGACGAGTTGTCTCTCTTTGTTAGACTTTCTAACGCTTGATGTGTTCCGGACGACACCACAGACATCAACAATGGCTGCGAACGGGAGATTCCATCTCCCAACAGCTGAAGAACTTGAAGGGCTATTATTGTTGTTCAATTTGATGTAAAATCAAAAACACTGACAGTGATAGGTATTTGTATTATATATATGCTACCAGACCTAATGAAATAAGGGCGAACAGGTACCACAACAGTGACAACACAGGGGCTCATTACATTGCCTAACGTTGATGTATTTTTAGGTCACCTGAGCTTTAGCTCAAGTGACCTATTGCTATCCGTTTTCGTCCGTCGTCGTCCGTCGTCCGTCGTCCGTCGTACGTCGTCCGTCGTCCGTCGTCCGTCGTCCGTTAACATTTTACATTTCAAACTTAAAGTCAAGTTCTGCTGGGCCGATTGAACTGAAAGTTGATAGGAATGATCGCCTCATGGTCCTGACAAAGTGTTGTTATTTTTCGGGTCGATCAGAAATCCAATATGGCCGCCACGGCCACCATTTTGAAAACCTATTTCAAACTTAAAGTCAAGTTCTGCTGGACCGATTGAACTGAAAGTTGGTAGGAATGATCGCCTCATGGTCCTGACAAAGTGTTGTTATTTTTTGGGTCGATCAGAAATCCAATATGGCCACCACGGCCGCCATTTTGAAAACCTATTTCAAACTTAAAGTCAAGTTCTGCTGGACCGATTGAACTTAAAGTTTGTAGGAATGATCGACTCATGGTCCTGACAAAGTGTTGTTATTTTTCAGGTCAATCATAAATCCAATATGGCCGCCACGGCCACCATTTTGAAAACATATTTCAAACTTAAAGTCAAGTTCTGCTAGGCCGATTGAACTGAAACTTTGTAGGAATGATTGACTCATGGTCCTGACAAAGTGTTGTTATTTTTCAGGTCGATCAGAAATCCAATATGGCCACCACAGCTGCCATTTTGGTAAACTATTTCAAACTTAAAGTAAAGATCTACTTGGCCGATTGAACTGAAACTTTGTAGGAATGATCGAATCATGGTCCTGACAAAGTGTTGTTATTTTTCGGGTCAATCAGAAATACAATTTGGCTGCCATGGCCGCTATTTTGCTACTAAGTTCTAATAGGCCGATCTCACTTAAAATTGGTCTAGGAATGATCAGCTCATGGTCCTGACAAAGTTAAGTTAACATTATACTATTTTTTACTCAAATTGGTACATATTTCAACAACAAAAATAAATACTATAGACTCAGGTGACCGTTAAGGCCCATGGGCCTCTTGTTGTTATATGTATATAACACAGACTTCACAGATGGGATTTCGGAATAATTAAACAGTTATTGCCCTGGTGTGTGGGAGACCTGAATAGTTGTTCCCCCTCGGTAAATCATGTTTCCTGAGGGCGCACCAGGACAATAAGTGTATAATGTAACAAAACGAGAATACCAATGGCCAAACACACAGGTGCTGATATAGTCAGGTATTCACTGCTATAGATACTAGTAATACCAATGGCCAAACATACAGGTGCTGGTATAGTTAGGTATTCACTGCTATAGATACTAGTCATACCAATGGCCAAACATACAGGTGCTGGTATAGTTAGGTATTCACTGCTATAGAAGTACTTTCAATTCCGTTATTGCTGATTGCACCGATTCATTAACCCCTCCTTATGAGGTTGTGGAGATGATAGGTAAGTCTAGCATTCAGTTTGTATGTACAGACATACAGTATATGAAACAATTTGTCATCACTGTTTCAACTTCATACAAGTACAAGGATGAAAATATCATGAATGAGGTCAGAAAGGTTAATTCCACCATTACTATACAATTATATCAAAACAATATCCTTGATCGCTCTAGCATCTTTATTTCTGAAAGGCTTTGATCTATCATTATGTTCTCTAACAGAAGCCACCTCAGAATGGAGCTGTACCTGTACAGTATACTTAGAATTTCAATAGTTTGGAGAAGCTGTAAAGTTTTGTATGCCCCGCCATAAAATTGGGGGGGGGGGGGGGGGCATATAGTGTTGCCCATGTCCGTCCCATCCCATCCCGTCTCATCCCGTCCCGTCCCATTCTGTCCCATCCATTTATGTCTTACAGACATTTTCTAGTTTTTGAATATTTTATAAAAATTAAGTGTCAACAACTAGTTTTACTGCAAACACTTGAGTGATAATCTTGTTTTTTTTTTACTGCCAGAGTCTAGAATCCATCAAATCATCTATCAAACAGCAGTCACTGGGAGATGGTGGTAACAGTGTGGTCGGCTGTAGTGAGGAACAGGTAAGGAAAACAGTAAGGAGCAGGTCAGGAAAACATGTTAATGAGAGAACAGGTAAGGAAAACGTGTTAATGAGAGAACAGGTAAGGAAAACATATTGATGAGGGAACACGTAAGGAAAACATATTAATGAGGGAACATGTAAGGAAAACATGTTAATGAGGGAACACGTAAGGAAAACATATTAATGAGGGAACATGTAAGGAAAACATATTAATGAGGAAACACATAAGGAAAACATATTAATGAGGGAACAAGTAAGGAAAACATAAAGGAACAGGTAAGGAAAACATATTAATGAGGGAACAGGTAAGGAAAACATATTAATGAGGGAACATGTAAGGAAAACATATTAATGAGGGAACATGTAAGGAAAACATGTTAATGAGGGAACACGTAAGGAAAACATATTAATGAGGGACCATGTAAGGAAAACATGTTAATGAGGGAACACGTAAGGAAAACATATTAATGAGGGACCATGTAAGGAAAACATGTTAATGAGGGAACACGTAAGGAAAACATATTAATGAGGGAGCATGTAAGGAAAACATGTTAATGAGGGAACACGTAAGGAAAACATATTAATGAGGGAGCATGTAAGGAAAACATGTTAATGAGGGAACACGTAAGGAAAACATATTAATGAGGGAGCATGTAAGGAAAACATGTTAATGAGGGAACACGTAAGGAAAACATATTAATGAGGGACCATGTAAGGAAAACATGTTAATGAGGGAACACGTATGGAAAACATATTAATGAGGGAACATGTAAGGAAAACATAAAGGAACAGGTCAGGAAAACCATGTTAATGAGGGAACAGGTCAGGAAAACATATCAATGAAGGAACAGGTAAGGAAAACATATTAATGGGGAAACAGGTAAGGAAAACATATTAATGAGGGAACAGGGAAGGAAAACATATTAATGAGGAAACAGGTAAGGAAAGCATATTAATGAGGGAACAGGTAAGGAAAACATATTATTGAGGGAACATGTAAGGAAAACATAAAGGAACAGGTCAGGAAACCCATGTTAATGAGGGAACAGGTCAGGAAAACATGTCAATGAAGGAACAGGTAGGGAAAACATATTAATGAGGAAACAGGTAAGGAGAACATATTAATGAGGGAACAGGTAAGGAAAACATATTATTGAGGGAACATGTAAGGAAAACATAAAGGAACAGGTCAGGAAAACCATGTTAATGAGGGAACAGGTCAGGAAAACATGCCAATGAAGGAACAGGTAAGGAAAACATATTAATGGGGAAACAGGTAAGGAAAACATATTAATGAGGGAGCAGGTAAGGAAAACATATTAATGAGGAAACAGGAAAGGAAAACATATTAATGAGGGAACAGGTAAGGATAACATATTAATGAGGGACCAGGTAAGGAAAACATATTAATGAGGGAACACATAAGGAAAACATATTAACGAGGGAACACATAAGGAAAACATATTAATGAGGAAACAGGTAAGGAAAACATATTAAGGAGGAAACAGGTAAGGATAACATATTAATGAGGAAACAGGTAAGGATAACATATTAATGAGGGAACAGGTAAGGATAACATATTAATGAGGGAACAGGTAAGGAAAACATATTAATGAGGGAACAGGTAAGGATAACATATTAATGAGAGAACACGTAAGATTGGTAAAGGAACAGGCAAGGAAAACATATTAATGAGGGAACAGGTGAGGAAAACATTAATAAGGGAAAATAGGTAAAAATGACATTATCGTTTCTGTCAACCTGATCAAATGACTCGTAGAGGTGTATTACCACAGTGACTGTAACAGGAAAGAGAATAGTATGCTTCCACCAATGATCTAACCTTGCTAGTGAGATGCTCTACCACTGAGCTAAAAGGAAATTTCTTCTAGCATGAAGCAAAAACGTGACCAAAACCCTATGCACAATTAAAATCTGACACCACAATTTGAACAAATCATAATAATCTTACTCTGTTAAAAGTTATTACCTGTAATCAATCAATTTTATGATGGTTTTTGATCTATCTACCCTCCATACTAAACCAGAATTAGAAGAGATGAAAATAATGATTCATATAGCCGATATTCCCTACTAATGGTAGTGGAGGGGGGGATAATAATCGCTTTGTCAGTGTGTCTGTGCATGTCTGTTTGTCAATCTGTGCATCAATAACAAAAAGATGTGTACAAGATACCATATTAATCCCTCAACAGATTTCGTTTATATTTACACCATAGTATGGTTACGTACGGTTTGACATCTGATTAGATTTTGGTGGTCATTGGTCAAGGTTAAAGGGTCAAAGGTCCCACTTGACAATGTTTAGAGGGATTTTTGGGGGAATCAGGGTATATCTATGCAAGTCTCTGATCTGCTCACTTCAGTTCTGTTCTATATCAGTTTTACCTCAAATTTATAATGTTTACGTTGTATCTGTACTTACAGAAGTTGGATCTTTGTCGCAAGCTCTACCGCCTGATCTTCCAACTAGTTCAGCTGTTTGAGAACTACATCAAGTTGATGGAGGTGTTTACAAGTGTGCGTGCATCACCACAGGTAGGTGTAGTGGATACTACTAATGGGAGATATAAGAAACTAGAACAACCATTTTGTTACAGTCTATATATTATAGCATATAATCCAACACCATTCATCATAGTCCAAATTATTCTGACGTTTTATCGACCTTTTTATATCGGTCTGTCGAGTCGATAAAACGTCAGAATAATTCGGACTACATTCATCACAGACTCTGGTTATGGTTCACCAGATAATGTATTACCCCCTCTGAAATTAAATGATTATATGAAAATGCTACTGATGAAGTCTATGCACTACCTTAAACATTAGATCTTACTTTTGTGTTACCAAGTTATCTACTGTAAAAAAAAATGTGTAGTTTTCAAAATTTGTCAATAGTTAAACCAAAAGAGTATTCATGAAAGTTTTTTACCAGTTTCCTAGTGTGCAACTCTTTTGAAGTGAAAGCACATACATGTATCACAGTATGGTTGCACATATTAAGATTAAATGCGTATAGATTAAGAAACACAACATTAAGAGATGCATCTTCAGGAAAAAAGAAAAAGTTCACGAACAAGTTGTTTCTGATGATGTATTATCATGTATTACTTTGTAAATACAGGTGGTAGATATCTCTTCCCAAGTGTCGTCTCTCAGGGAGGAGATTACACAGGCTCTCAGTGAGATGGAAAATGGCCAAGACTCGCCTGTTAACATAGACTCGGGCAAGGTGCTTACTAAACAGGAGGCTTTGTCCAGTCTGGCCGAATACGTCAACGGCCAGCAGTACATGAAGGCCATACAGCTTCTCCGATCCTTCAGGTAACATCTCCCCTGGTACCTAGCCCCACTCCTGTAGGTAGCGCTGTAAAACACTGAGGAAATAAAATATGTTGCCATTCTAACAATTATGCTTGTGACCTATTGAATCTTTTTGAATAGAGTCATGACTGATTAATATCGCACACAATTATTTACCAGCTGCAAAGTGGAGATATTTTTATGATGTCCATCAGTCTGTCCATATTTAGCCAATATAGACTGTTTTTGTTGATAATAAAAACATTACTGACTATCAAATAGCAAGTCCCTGTGGAATATAATTATAATCTTTGTTTTAGGTCCCTGTGGCCGAATGACATGTTTGGACAAGCAACCGAGGATGATGTCATTGTCCTGCTAAACATATTCTGTACCTCTCAGGCAGAGAAAAGGACAGGCAAGTTACTATAGAAAAAAATCAACAGGCAATAACTGTTGGAAAAGTGGCTTATAGAAAGTGTGTTACAAGAACTGTACAGAAATTGTGTTACAATCTCTGTATAGGTATTTTGTGCCTGCCCTCTACAGAAATTCACAAAAATTCTGTTCAGGTATTTTGTTACAAAGATCTTTACTGAAATTGTGAAGTGAATTCGAGCCTATATAGAAATTGTGTTTTAAGATATTGATGCATGCTCTCTACAAATATTAACAAAAATTCTGTTCAGGTATGTAGTGTGTTTCGAAGATCTGTGCTGAAATTGTGAAGCGAATCTAACTTTATGTAAAAATTACGTTTAGGATATTGATGCATGCTATCTATATATTGACACATGATCTTTACAAATATTGACAAAAGTACAAAAGCTTTGAGACAAATTCAAGCACATCAAATTTGATATAGCTCAATGATGACATGTGGTAGGTTCGGCCATATTACAGACCATCTATAATATGTCTGTTCTTATCCTCAGGTATATTTGCCCTTATTGGATTAGATGTAGACCTGAGCCATGTACACAGTCAGCTCATGACCATCAGCGTCCAGATGTCCGGCTGGTCACTTCTTCCACTGGGGGTGTCCAAGTCCACACCTGACCTCAGTCACATCAGCTTGACGTCCGACTCCAGTACTTTGTGACTAGATCCAGAGCCGACCGCTAGTACGTTGTAACAACGCCAAGGGTCGTCTCTAGTACGTTGTAACAACGCCAAGGGTCGTCTCTAGTACGTTGTAACAACGCCAAGGGTCGTCTCTAGAACATCGTAACAATGGGAAGGGTCACCTCTTGTACTAGGAGATTACCTGGCAAATGGTTGTGTGCCCGTAGCAGATTATTAGGTTGAAGATCATCTGCTAGTGCCACGTGACTGATCTGAGAGTCTTTCACTTTGTCATACGACTAATTGAAATGTCACTGAGTAATGTGCGGACAAGCCAAAAATCATTTTCAGTCACAACAAGAATATAGAAAAGCAATAATTGTAACAAAGGACATTATTTTGTTGTAAGTATTACTTAATGATGGAAAATTAAAAGTGAACTTTTAGTGTGACAAGTTTTAAAAGTTCGCAATTATGAATTTGTGATACTATCTGTGATCCTGACGAGGAAGGAAAGTCTGGTGATAATAATATTTACCCTGAAAGGTGGTGATAAGGAGAGGAATCTTTACCCTACAAAAAATCACTGTACAAAACCATTATTTCTTTTGATGGAGGGGCTGATAGTTTGGAGAAGTATTTTAACTTTTGACTATCACAAGGTTCTCTCTGTTTCTGAAGCCATGACGTTTTCCTTGATAATTGTTCCACTGTTAGAGTTAAGGTTGTTTTGAGATACGTGTATATTGTAACATAAATTATTTCTAGTCAGGAGGTACTGGTTGGCAGATTAACTCTTACAGCCATCTGCCTATCTCCTTATGTACTTTATATATGAAATAAAATCATATTTATGTATTAATTATTACATGCTGATTAAATATATCATGATGAAAATGCACAAAACTGATCAATCATAATTCAAGCTTTGCTAGCTGGTTGTTTTCTATTCCCTTTAAATATACTGAGTGTACAAAAGGAGGTTTAGTGAATTAAGGGTGTATGTTATGTTATGTTTCCATCCAGATATTCATCTCATTTTCCCAAGATTTCCACATGAAGACATCTGACGTGTAAAATCTCTTTTATTAATGCCAATTTGAACCTTGTTAATTATAATTCTATGATAAATTTGACAAATACACCAGAATGAAAAATAAAATATAGAGAGTTTGTTAAAAATTGATGTACAGTATTGTTTTCATGTGCTGCCCTTTTCTGTGTTTGGAAGGCTAACCTGTATGAATGTCATCAATATAAATGACCAAGAAATCATACTTTTTGCAAACAAAAAACCACCAATATTTCTAGTATTTATTAAATATTTTGTGTTTGTAGATGATTGATGAAGCCATACAACTTGTCTTCCCCTGACTACCAAAATGTTGGTTGATCATGTAATCACATATAAAGAGCGTGATTGATCGTTTGTAAATCGGTAAAATAATTAAAGTCTTCACTTTGTACAGTATTACTCCTACATATGTACATTATTATTTTATAAAGTGTTTATTTGGTTCCTTGTTTGCTCTGTGGCATTTTAGAATTATTTGTGGTGCATCCAGAATAGTTGCATATTTTTGAATATTTTAATGCATTTAAATATTTATTTCGGTTATGTTATCATGAACTCCTCATTTGATTTGAACTGTCTATACAAATGTATTATTTATTGACAAATCTAGACAAACCTTAAAAAGGGGGGCGGGAGGGATCTCTGATATAGATTCTCTGACTGTATTTAAAAGTATACATGTAAAAACAAATCACAAACAGTGTATAGCTATTAGCTTATTTAATTTAAAATGTGTAACTGTTAAATAAGTGTGAAGTACCTGTGCTGACATTACAATTGCCAACATATCCATGCTGATAATACACGTACAGAACAAAAGGAGGGGAAGTGATTATTGAAGACTTAATTTGCAAATTCCAGTTGCTTCAGTATACCCAATATCATTCTCAAAATTCAGTTGCCATTTGTTTACTGTCAACTGCTAAATGACAATGTCCATTCATGTTCTAATTATAGTGTCAACTGGACTATGGTATCACGAGTTTTGATAGTATAGACTAATTTGCACGAAAAGGCTTCAGTTATGTTGTTCAATAGAGATTCCCTACCGAGTGATGGTGTTATCCTTTTTATCTAACTCGAGTGTATAAAATTAAAGACACAAGGGTTACCGAGTGTATAACATTAAAGACACAAGGGTTACCGAGTGTATAACATTAAAGACACGAGGGTTACCGAGTGTATAACATCAAAGACACAAGGGTTACCGAGTGTACAACATCAAAGATACAAGGGTTACTTGACATCATACCGTAATTAATTAGGAGAATGAAATAACATTCAGGGTGTTACCCACTATGTTACCCACTAGTGGGTTACCAAAAATGTTTAGCAGGGTTATCCAAAGAGTCGGGAGTGAGGAAACCTACAGTGGTCGTGGAAGAATATTTGTTTATTTAAAATGACATATTCTTCCATACACAATGAACATACATACAGTTAGTTGATATAAAAGATAGTGGACAGTATGACGTGTGATAAACATATTCTTATGTGTAATAAAATAGTAAAGCATTATGCTAAACTTCCTCATTTATACATATCGAAATCTGGTAAACTTCATATATTTTGATTTTGTGTACATGTAGTTATATAGAAATGAAAATGGGAGATTAGGAGTGAAGAAATAATCAGGAATGACTCTTAGGCAAAAAAGGAAGGAAAAGGGAGATAGAAAAAGACATTCAAGAAAATGTAGACATTATCTTTTCAACATATATACTTAACTCTAGCAAAGAAATCTATGTAGATGCATTTCATGGATATATGATACTTCTCTGTATTGCAATTATCACTTATAATCAGTCAAAGCAATGGATAATAAATAACTGGTATTTGGTAACTAGCAATTAGAATATGACGTTTGGCAACTGTTTATTGTCAAATGATGTCAATTGATATTTAGCATTTGATGTGACAGCACAGGCATTTCATAGTTCTGTATACCTATCATATTTCACCCTTCTTATCATTTTAACTTCTCCATTAAGTTGTGAGTGATTATTATGATAGTGACAGGTTGGGAACTCCCTCGAATTTCAGAGATGGTCTTGACCAAACAAAATACACCCGGTTTACACTGATAAAAATAATTCTGTAAATAGTTATTAATTGAAACGGAAGAACGGAAACTGCTGACAAGTCGTGAGAGTTCCCAACTTGTTTAATCTTAACACACATACAACCTAGGCTGCATTCGTTTATCGTGATCCAAGTGGTTGAACCGGTTGGACTAGAGTTGTTCAGTCATGAAATAAGGTCAGACCTAGTAATCTGATGCTGCTTTCAGAGCCTCAATGACAAAGCCTAGCAAGGCCTGCATCAATATTTGCAGGTCCTCCAGGATTTATACCTGAAAATGTTGCATTTAAAAACAGACAAATCCGTTGAACCGGATATGCGAAAGGGGCCCTGCTGTAAGTCAACAGTGAAACCTGTATAATCTGTCACCATGTGGGACACATTGCATAGATCAGATCGTATGTCAGAATACACAAGTAGTTTTAATAAGCATGTTGAATAACACAGGATGTAGAAATACTCGGGGTAAGATAACTTGGTTGACCCGGTACCTAAAACTACCAGAACTGTGTGACCGAACAACAATTGGTTGGTGAGAAGGTAAGACAGTGTAATATTTGTGGTTGCTGGGTAATAAATCAGTCTTTCTTGTACAATTTTACCCATTTTGGACAAAGCTAATCTGTATAAAATCACTGCTGAGTTTAATTTTAACCCTTTCACCCCTATGTAACTTTAATAAACTCTACCATGCATTGATCTGGATAAGTCCATTATGGTCTACAGTGGTGAAAGGGTTAATCCTAATTAGTGAAATATCCATCGATATTAACTAAATCTGTGGTGCTAATTTTTTGTGATTTTTAATTTATGCGAATATGACTTGCTTTCTTATTTAGTTGATCACCAAGTGCTAGTGGATATGCTGATCTATATTAACATTAGCTAACTTGCATAATATATAAACGCTGCAGTACAATCATGGTACCCAGATTTTTCAGTATATGAATCCCTGTAAAATGTGTGCATGCTATTTCATAAATATTTTAAAAATCAAATATTTTGCAAAAATGATTTGTGATATTCTTCTTGAATAAAATTAGTCATATAATTTGTCTTTTTCTTTTCTTATTAGTCTGATGAATCTGTGGAGATTTTACATTTGCAATCTGCCCCATCTTATTACGATGAGAGCAAGACTTCTGAGTGGTTAAACAATTTCAAAAGTTTGTCTACCACTGGAATATTTTGGTATGTCGGACCATGAGCTTTTCCTTGTCAAGATAATCATTTCTTTCTGGCCCACCATCATCTGATGGTGGGCTATTCAAATCATCCTGCGTCCGTGGTCCGTGGTCCGTGGTCTGTCTTCCGTCGTCCGTCGTCCGTCCATCGGTTGTTATCGGTATTTCTCAAGAAGTACCAGAGGGATCTTTCTCAAATTTTATATGCAGGTTCCCCTTGGTCCTAAGCTGTGCAGGGCAACTTTTGAGACTGATTGGATAAACAACATGGCCGAAAGGCAGCCACCTCAGATTTTGATAGTGAAAGTTTGTTATCGCTATTTCTCAAGAAGCACCAGAAGGATCTTTCTCCAATTTTATATGTAGGTTCCCCTTGGTCCTAAGCTGTGCAGGACATTTTTTTGAGACTGATCGGATAAACAACATGGCCGACAGGCAGCGATCTTGGATTTTGATAGTGAAAGGTTGTTATCGCTATTTCTCAGGAAGTTTTAGAGGGATCTTTCTCAAATTTTATATGCAGGTTCCCCTTGGTCCTTAGCTGTGCAGGGCAACTTTTGAGACTGATTGGATAAACAACATGGCCAAAAGGCAGCCACCTCAGATTTTGATAGAGAAAGTTTGTTATCGCTATTTCTCAGGAAGTACCAGAGGGATCTTTTAAACAAATTATATGTAGGTTCCCCTTGGTCTCTCGTTGTCCATGTTATATTTTGAGACTGATCATAAAAACAAAATGGATTAAAAGAAGAACTAAACAGATCTTTCTGCAATGATCAATTCTATTTCTTTCACATTATGTACTGTACTAGTAAATGTGTGAAATGACAAACTCACTTTGAAGGTTGGCTATTATACACATCAGTATTAAGTTTAGATCAAAAGTTACCTCAAGGTGCATTTACTGTTAACATGACTTGATCAAACAGATTAGAGGAAAAAAGAGAAAAGTTCGAACTGACAAAGAACTAATGAAGATGGCACAAAGGTGGGCGCCAAGATCCCTCTGGGATCTCTTGTTTCAAATTGACATTTTCAGTATGATAGTCCTTAACATTAACCATGACCAGATATTGTGGTAAATGCAATTTACAGATCTGTGGGTAGTTTATATCACGCGATCACCTAACAGCTGAATAGCTGAGATTCCCTATCCTATTCATTGATGTCCTTATCATGACTAGATGATGTTTTACGTAGCTTTCTTGGCTATGTAATCCATGATCAGGGGTCAGAAGTCAAATCAATGTTGCGCTTCTCTCAAGCATAACTTAACTGTGGTTCACTGAGCACTGAACCTTTTCTCATGGAAGTATACATGTACATCAACATCCATTCACCTCAAGTTTTTATACACCTGTCGAATGACAGGATGCATTATGTTATCACGTGAGTGGGTGGGTGGGGTTACATTAGGGCGCGAACGGTGTCTGGTCTATATCTCAAATAGCTAAGAAAAGTTTCGGACTGTAATTTACTGAGCTATGACCCTTTATTCATTTGCCAATACATTGTCCGCACAATATCTCAAGTAGTTTTATACGCCCGTCAAATTTGATGGGAGTATTATGTTATGGGGGCCGGTCAGCCGCCGTAAACTTTCGTTTGTCTGGCAATCTCCTCCTACATTTTTCGACTGATCTCTTTGAAACTTGGTATACATTATAATCATGATATGAAGTTGTGTCTCCCTTAAAAGAATTTTGATTCAATTGTTTTTGCAAAAAGTAATTGCCCTTTGTTTATTTCAGTATTTGATTTTTGTCCGGCAATCTCCTCCTTCATTTTTCAACGGATCTCTTTGAAACTTGGTATACATTATAATCATGATATGAAGTTGTGTCTCCCTTAAAAGAATTTTGATTTGACGATTTTTAGCTCACCTGGCACAAAGTGCCAAGTGAGCTTATGCCGTGGTGCGGCGTCCGTCGTCCGTCAGTTGTCCATCCGTCGGTCGTCCGTCTGTCGTCAATATTTTACTTTACACAACTTCTTCTTAATAACCGAAAGGCCTAGGGTGATGATATTTGGCCAGAAGCAAACTGGGATGAAGGGCTACCAAGTTTGTTCAAATAAATGACTTTCATTTATTTTCAAGGTCACAGGGGTTAAATATGTTAAAAACTTTAAACAACTTCTGCTCAATAACCAAACTGCCCAGGGAGATGATATTTGGTCAGAAGCATTCTAGGGTGAAGGGCTACCAAGTTTGTTCAAATAAATGACTTTCATTTATTTTCAAGGTCACAGGGGTCAAATATGTTAAAAACTTTAAACAACTTCTTCTCAATAACCAAACTGCCCAGGGAGATGATATTTGGTCAGTAGCATTCTAGGGTGAAGGGCTACCAAGTTTGTTCAAATAAATGACTTTCATTTATTTTCAAGGTCACAGGGGTCAAATATGTTAAAAACTTTAAACAACTTCTTCTGAATAACCAAAATGCCCTGGGTGATGATATTTTGTCAGTAGCATACTAGGATCAAGGGCTTCCAAGTTTGTTTAAATGTATGACCTTGAATCATATTCAAGGTCCCAAGGAGCAAATATGTTTAAAATATTTCAACAACTTGTTCTGAATAACCAAAAGGCTCAGGATGTTGTTATTTAGTTAGAAGCATATGCTGGGATCAAGGACTACTATGTTTGTTAAAGTGAATGACTTTGACTTATATTCAAGGCCACAGGGGTCAAATTTGATTAAAATCTTTACACAACCTCTTATGAATAACCATGGGTCCCAGGATGTTTATATTTTGCAAGTTGCTTCCTGAGATGAAAGTCTATCCAATGTGTTCAACATAATGACTTTGTTCGACTTTTAATCACAGGGGTGAAATGTTTTAAAACAAATTAACAGGGTCTTTTGAACAAATTTTTAATCATAAATACTGATATTTTGCCTGTAGCTTTATTTTTGATCACTTTTAAGGTTACAAGTGTGAGATTTATACCAGGTGAGCGATGTAGGCCCATTGGGCCTCTTGTTAATTAGTATATTTTATTTGAAAAATCGTTACTTTTTTGAGTTCCATTTGATTGCAATAAGACTAGGGTATGTTTTTGAGTTTGAAGTAAACTTTCATTTGCAACCAACTTTGTTTTGAAGTGTTGTCATTTATCCGAGAAATAGGGTGTTGAACAACAAAAACGAACAAAAAACGCAAAAAAACAACAACATTTTCTCAACAATAACTCAATCATACCTTAAAATCCGCCAAGATGTAGAGCAAAAGTAATGACCTTCATAAAAGCCTTATCTAGCATTGGGCTGACACTTTGATATTATAAGATTAAAAGGTGGTACATGTACTGGAGTTTAACTAAATCATGATAAAATCTTCATTTACCATTATTATATATACTGTTTTAAAGTTTGACTCTTGACCTGTTGCAAGAAATTCTACATTATTTGGTTAGTGAGGTTGCTAATGTAGACCAGAGATCCCAGACGGATCTTGGAGCCCACCATTGTACCATCTTCATCAGTTGTTCTATGTAATACTATTCTTTCTTCTTCTTTTAATCTTTAAACGACTTTTTCTCAATAATCAAAAGCCACAAGGTGATGATATTTGTTCAACTGAATGCTTTCAATGTCACTGGGATCAAACGTGTTAGATAGAATCTTGTAACGGGTTGTTATGAATAAACAAAAGTCATTGGTAAGGATATTTAGTCTGTAGCTTATTTAGTCTTTTTAAGTATATTTGACCTTAATTGGTCCACTTTTAACCTTGAAAATGTGAGATTAATTGCAGGTGAGTGATGCAAGCCCATCAGGCCTTTTGTTAAAATCTTGCCTTTTTGCTACAGTTGTGTTGTTTGTTTTTGCCCTGAAGCAAATTTAGAAATGAAAGCAAAAGTTTCCTGATGAAATGTCTGTAAAGTCAGATTCATGATTTAAATGGGAATTCAATAAAACAGTTCAAGTAACAGGTGATCAATACAGACCCATTGGTCCTTTTGTTTAAAAATCCTTCAGATTCAAACCAAGGGGCCATATTCATGAAACCGTTGCCATTACCAAGCAAGGATTTTGTGCTCAAGCCTAATTTCTTGTTGCAGTTATAAATGTGTAAGATAATCTTATTTTGTCATTAATTTGGATAAAATTTGAAGAGACTTCAAAACACTGTTTTCAATGTTTACACTTGACCTTTTTGATCATTTGATTTAAGTTTCATGAATACGAGCCCTGTACTTCAAATTGGGATTTGTACTCGAGCTAGCTCTAACCCACTGAGCTACTAGAAGTACCCAGTCCCAATAGCACTATACAGTATAGAAAGTAAGGGGAGGTTACTCTATATGAAAAACCTCAGAAGAATCTCAGATTTGTGCCTGCGATCCTCAAAACATACATTGCAACAGAAATTTAATCAACACTGACACGTCTACATTTAAATAGGCAAGACAAAAATGAGGACAGATAATGCCTTTGTCATATGGTATGTCAAATATAGATGTCAACTGCGCCTAGCTATTGCCAGATATTGAAAAAAAGGCCGCATTGGCCTGTAGAGCTTAATGTAAATGGTAATGTTCTGGCACACTTTTCATATCACCAGAAAGTCACCAGAATACCAACAGAAGTGCACCACAGATAAGGAATTCCCATGATCCTCTGTAACTTGTCTAAATATAGTTGACCCCCAAATTCAAAAATTACAAAATGGCTTCTTAATTTTACGGGGGCTGCATCAATGTCGATGTTTATGCCCTCGGTGGTCCTATTGCAGAGGCGTGAAAAAGGGTATTATTTACAGTGATTAGTTGGGTTTTTTTGTGATATTTTTGTGCAAGGTATAGATAAAAGGTAAAAGCTGGAGTTTGTTTTTTAGCGTGTGATGAGGTCTTCAAGGG